CACACACACACACACACACACACACACCCTCCCTATCCCTCATACTATTTTTTCTCCAAACAGCTGTATCTCCCATCAGCTCCCAAGCCGTGGATCTACCGCGCTCACTCTCCACCCACCCACCCAACACTTCAGCCTTTCACAACAACTCATAGGTTTTTTGTGTGGTTTTTTTCAACAATCTCTCTCTCTCTCTCTCTCTCTCTCTCTCTCTCTCTCTCTTGGGGTTCCTTGAACTGGAACATTGATGATTGTGGGTCTTTGAAATGTCCCAGCAGTCATGATACACAAGGCTACATCACACACTGATCACACTAATGACTTAAGAAGATTTACATTTATGCTCTCTATGTTTATTCGGAATTCACGTACTTGTCTTTTCCGTTTGCGGGGTGGGGGGAGGGGGACGATTGGTTTAAATATTACTTTGTTGTGTTTAGTGAAGTCTGCTCCGCTTCCCCTGAAGCGAGGGGGTACAATGATGTGTGTAAATTCTTCCCTCTCCCCTCGTGTTCGAGGATCCTGTGTCGGAATCTGTACAATGATGTGTGTAAATTCTTCCCTCTCCCCTCGTGTTCGAGGATCCTGTGTCGGAATCTGCGCAACTTTATGTTTAAATAAGACTCGAACGGAATAACTGGGATAAATGGTTTGAGAGTAGAATATGACTACTGTATATTATTAAGACTATAACCTGGTTGTCAACTTGCTACTAACAACCCCCTTACGAAATCCCCAACATATCTACCACTGCACTGTCTACCTGAGAAAGTCTCACCTTATTACAACATGAGTAGTGGCCTCCAGTTACTAGGCCATTTGTCTAAAGTCATCAAAGATATGCACAAAATGTGAAAACATTCCGTTCGTATCTTCCTCCATGAGACAGCATCTAACAGGATTTCTTGCAATTGCAAAAAACATGAGGGTTATGGTGCATATAATCAGCGAATTTAGCCATTTTTCTTTCCAAAAAACCCTCCAACTGATGTCAAAGGGTGACTGATATGTCACCAAAAATGACTCTTAATAACTGGAACACGCCTCCGAAATGTTAGTCAATTTCAAACAACATACAATTAGGCTTGGGATAATGCCTTTAGCTATACATTCCATTCAGACAATTTTTCTCAACATGAAGCTAAAATATTCGTGATGATCGTTACGCTTAATGTCACAACCAAGCTGAGTTTTCTCGATAAAGTAACATTCCATCCAATCACATAACTTTACGCCGTTCAGTATCAATCATATTATGTTCTCGTCGTTTAAAACGCTCGAAAACAAACTATGGTTTCAGGCAAAGAGGAATTTATGAAAGTGACAGCTAAAGCCAGGGCGTTGGTTTTTTTGTCACGATGTAACAAGCGAACGATCCTTTCTAATTTTGACGGGTTTCGTTTTTTTCGTTATTGAGGCTTTAAAAACTTTTTTTTTCTCCAACGGACGTAAACATCTTCCTACCTTCCGAGACGGCGATGATGAGAGAAGGTTAGCCTGTTTGTCATGTCACGGTTTTCTATTCTTGTAACATGCGTCACTTTCTGTGTATATTGTGATGTAACAAGCATCACATCATAGAAAACATCTTGCTCAATGATTTGAACCTTGTCATTTCGATGGATACTATTCGATTTCTCAGATATTGTTAGATTGTTGGAGGCTCCTTTTCATACCCAATTTGCTGATCGCTAAACCCCCCTTTTTCCGAAGGTAGTTTGAGGAAGTAATATCGTGACACAATCGTCGTTCATGTCTAATGTTTCGAGTGTTACGGTAATATGGGCTGTTTTCAATGGATTTAGCTTCATAATGGTTGAGTTTGTGAGTAACGAGTGCTTGTTGAGAGTTACACTGACTTCAAAAACTTGTTTTTCTTAAATAGTGTATTTTTCTGCCAGAGAATTTAAGACCTTGTACTGGTGCGTGATGATTGTTACGAGAAGTGAAATTTATTTGTCACATTGTAACCTGCACCACAGTTCTTACACCCATGTGTTTTCTACTTCATAAAAAGTGAAATAATTGTGTGTTTTTGTACTTTTTTGCAATGATGAGTTATTTCAATGCAGATGTTAGGACTTCTGTTCCTGGAAATACTTTTTAGACCATCTTTCTAAATTACACCGATTCCTGTGACTCACTGTTACTGGGACATTGCTGATTGGGGGAAATCTTGTAAGTCCTAATGTTGGCGGAATGATGAAGTTTGATCTCATATTTTTCCTCGACAGTTATAAGCTGATTGTTGAAGGATTGTCATAGCTTTTAACCTGTATGATGTGGCTATTAAGAATGTTTGTCGTTTTAGGTAACGTCGTCACCAGAAGACCACAACGTTAGACTTCTACAGTCTCCAGTTTCAGAGAGACCAGACCATCCCTGACCAAGATCATGCTAATGGAGACGTGAAAAAAAAAGTATTTTGATACTTTCATTCTGGATTCGGATTATATGTTGTGGGCTTTATCTTCCAAGTGGATACCGGTAGCTTGCCAACAATGAAATTGAAACTGCTATTGCCTTACGCCGTTGCCAAGTCTGGCGGCGGATTGTGTCTCAGTCATATGCTTTCACTAGCTTTGGTGCTGTCTTGAATCCACATTGTCTAAACTGAGCCACAAAAAGTATCAGAGCAAACTTTAAATAGCTGGAACGTCCGTTACACCTAGCGGATTTTGATGCAGTTTGTTGAATTTGAAACATCATTCAATCCCAAGTTTCGTGTATTTAAATGTATGTCATGTAAACACGCTTTCAATGAATACACCTAATAAGTCGGGTCAAAAACTGAATCATGCATTATAATTGTTGTTTACAGCCACTTCAATCAGAACTGAATGGAGTTAGAAATATTTTTCAAATTTTGCTTCCTAACCGTTACACTAAATTATAGGGCTTTTTCAAACTTGCAGCTATACTTTTATTGCTCTATATATTTCTGGACTAGTTCAAGATCTAGTTTCTGTAGGGCTAAAGTAGAATGACCAAATAATTAATGCTCAGTAGGTATGATAGGGTTAGGGGAAAAACTTCATGTAGTTGTAGATCAAGGATGCTGTACAGGACATATGCCAATCCTTGCCATCATCACATCAAGGGCTTACTGTCAGTAACTCAAGCCTAAGCGACCATTGACAGGACCATTCTCCTTGTGTAGAAGCGACTAGTGTGTAGTTTTTTGTAGTGTAATAAAAGTTGAGTCTAGTGGTCAGTCTCCCAGTCTCTACATTGTTATCATTGCTCTTGGACGTGCATGTTCTTATTTCCGTTTGGATTTACTATAACCATTTCTACACTTTCCTCTGTTCTAAGGATTACACTTGTGCATGTTCTCATTTTCGTTTGGATTTTGCTATTACCATTTTTACACTTTCCTCAGTTCTCTAAGGGTTACACATGTGCGTAAATTATATTGTGTGTTTTCATGTGGAGCAAGATTCTAGTTTTATTTCAACTTGACCTCGATCGTGACAGTGAAAAAGTTTACAGCTGGTATAAACGTATTTTCAGTTTCAGTGCGACGCATCGTGATTGCGAAAGACATGGGAAGAAAGCGTTGCACATGGGGCTGTAAAAAGTGGCCAGTCAAAAAGCAGATAGAAAAATAAGAATGTTTTAGATTTCCAAACTGGGTGCTTGGTGGGTGATCTAGTATAGTTTGTCCCTTCCTTCCTATCACACACCTATCGGCGTACTCCCCTCTTTTACTTTGTATGTTACTCTCTAATCTGTGGCACTTATATGAGTTTCGAGTTCCTGGTACTGTACAACTCTAATTGAAACTAAGATTTTCAAAGGAGGTAGAACAAAAGAGTGATAGGGTGCCAAACGTATTCACTATAAATTAATTTACATGTGTGTATTATGTACCTATTACTACCGCAGAAAATGTAACTGACTGAAGCGGTAGTTTGTTCTCATGCATTTCCCTCCTGATGTACCATGTTACTTGGCAAGGGTAGGTCAGTTAATGGTGCCCTCAGATGCTCTTTGAGAGCCTCCAGAAAAAAAATTCAATGTAATTTGATTTCTAGACGCGCCACCGGTACGACCATATTATGTTGTGGCTTCCCAGCACAGAAGAAGAGAGCAACTACTAGAAAGTTCAGCCTCTTCTTCTAAGTCTAAAGGTATTGATATCGATGAAATGAACATATTCAATCATAAAAAGGGTTGCTTTCAAAGTCGAGCTCTTTCATCAAACGTTAAATTTAAACTGACAACCATTTGCAATCTTGCAACTTGGAGCAACCCCCCCAATAACAACGCATTTGTATTGCTCTGCGGAGCTCCTGGTGGCCTCTTTCTTTGTCTATGAATGTTATTATTATTTACCACACTCATGACAAAGTGCCACTTTAGACTGTAAGATAATATAGCAGCGATCGTGGTGGGCTACACTTTAGACTGTAAGATAATATAGCAGTGATCGTGGTGGGCTACACTTTAGACTGTAAGATAATATAGCAGTGATCGTGGTGGGCTACATTTTCCGACTCTTGTCTTTTGTGACTTTACATTGTTGGTCTTTCAGATCCTCTTTGTTGTTGTTTTTTTAATTGTTCTTTTTCATAAACCTATGACTATGAAAAATTGTGCAGACACACACTAATGGTGATTTTATGGGACTTTCCTTGGCATTTTTCATATTGACATTGTCATTACAAAGAGTGCGATTATGTCGTTGGCTATTATCTTCGATGAAGAGATTTTCTCCACAAAGCACCTCGAAGAGCAAAAGACAGATGAAGAGATAAACTTCAAAGTTGTCATCACGATGTACATATATAACAACTTTATTTATTAGAGATAACAGGTTGCTTTCTTTATCAACAGCTGATGGGATTCACTTAATAATGAATCGTCTTTCCTAGGATCTAAATACAGGGTGATCAAAAAACAACTGTACATTTTTTTGGGGTTAATATTTTCCTCCACACTGAAGTGTTTTGCGCTTAAAATTTGTCAACATTTGGAAGTCAAAAGGAATTCGTCTGATATTCACTTTAGAAAAATCGACAGAATTGTATTGTTTTACACAGCGCGTAAAAAACAACCCATTTTCAGCTATGTCCCCATTTTTGTAGCATGGCGCACTAGTTCGCATAAGGCCTACCACTTGATTTTACTTGATGTCAAGGGTGGAAATGGTTCCTCTGTTAGTATCTGTAGAGAATCAGAACTAATAATTCCCAATTAAAACGTCGTTAGGGTGCAGAATTCAGTAGATGAGCCCCATGAGACGTCTGTCCTTAGACAATTTCAGCAGCAATGACTTTCCTACATCTCAACTGTCCGCATTCTCATGGCAGATCTTCATCTACGACTGTACCATTTTCCCGTTCGCGAAACTGTCAAAGGATAACAATGTGTTCATGATTCCTCGATCGTCTTGAAAAGCGTAGACATTTCCTTTAAGACTTTTTGGTTCCTTGGGAAAGCCCATATTCATCGTTCAGTTTATATCAAGTCTACAAGTGCTGCTTATTTGGGCAACTCACCCCTCCCTCTATTGTCTCTAGAAACAGCTCCATACTGTAAGGTGTACATGGTATGTGGCTTTGAGTACTCATGGTTGAGTGGATCCATGTGTTTGGCCACTTTGAACATTACGAACGACGCGTTAAAATGTGTCGAGTCCAAAGGAGGACATACAGACCATTGGTTCTCGGAATTCCAGGATTTAAAAAACTATTTTTTTAACTCTGTAGGAAAAAAGAAATATTGTTTAAAGGTTATAGGGGTGGAACATTTAGATTTTCAAAATAAAAGGAAAGGAAAAAATAAAACCAATCTTTTCAAGACTTCCCTTACTAGATCTTTTAAGTTTTCGTTTTCAAAAATTAGTTTTTTCTTTGTGAATTTTATGACAAACAAATTCCTTTTGAATGAATTATATATATTCCAAATTACAAAATTCTAGTACAAATTTTGTGCGAGATATTTTTTAAAAAAGTTGTACAGTTGTTTTTTTAATCACCCTGTATATCAAAATTGTTAGTATTATATGAGGAAGATATCTCTTGTTTCTGTTGCAACTGAAGATGTGATCTTCCTTTTTCTACACGAGCGAGTAAACTCGCTCAAAAGAACAAACAACAAATAAAAATGCATTGAATTTAAGTAAGGTTCATTGTCGGCCAATGTAGTGAGCACAAGCGAGAAGGCTCCATCACTCGTTAAGCGCATTTGTCTATTCGCCGCTTTTCGCACTGATCTTCGTTCACCTGACTGAGAACCGGGCCGGCCTTCAATGCTGGAGCCACCTATTTCGGAAATACGGCCTGATTTTGAGAACGCCTAGGCAAGGGACCAAAAACAAAAAAAGAAAAAAAAAGGGAAGTCTGCTGCTGCTGTGCTGCTGCTGCTGCTATTGTGTTTTTGGTGTTGTCGGTGTCATTACCATTCATTCCTATTTTATAGTAGATTTTGTTTCATTGCATCTTGACGAGGAGGCTTTATTGTGTAACGGTGGACGCAGAAGCCCTTTGCCCTTTGCCCTTTGTCTTGTCCAGTAAAAAGATAACCACACCTGCTTGCCTAGTGGAGCTAGAGTGTGGGTGGTTGGCGGGAGCTCTGGTGTGGTTTGCTTCAGTGGAGCTAGAGCGTGGGTGGTTGGCGGCTGTTTTGTGTTTGCTACTCTCTTGTAACACCTCAAATCTTCGGCACTTATGACCTTATTGTGTTGCAAGTGCCGTTAAACTCTTACTAAAACTAAGAAACTAGAGTGTATGCTGTACATTACTTTTATTAGTTTTACATGTACTACCATTTTGTGTCAAATCTTAGTTTTGGGCAAATGTTTGGAGAACACCACAGAGTGGTAGTAGGCCCCTTTTTCTTTTCTTTCCTTCGGCTGTAGCTTCTGTTTATCTTTCTTACTTTTCCACGGCCTAAATATCCGTTATTCTTTTGGTGTGCTCCTCTTTACTCAGACTGAAAAACAACCGCAACAACAACAACGACAACAATAACAGCAACATCAGAAGAAGCAGCAGAAGCAGCAGCAACGACGACAAAGCTTAGGTTTGACACCAAAAAAATAATGTATACCTGAGTAGATGAAAGAGCTCTCCGCCATTGACAAACTCCATGACCATGTAGAGGTTTGTCGTGTCCTTGAAGGCGTTCAGGCAGCGTACGACAAAAGGCGAGCCAATACTCAGGAGAATACGCTTCTCATTCATCGTATGTTCTACCTGGGAAAGAGAATATATATTATATATAAAGTTTATTAAAGCTGAAAAGAAAAAAAATCTTTACCGGTTCCAGCCAAATTAGCAGGACCGTTCATACACGACATGTAATACAAATTAACTTGGGTGTATGTCCACGGCGGCCTACCATTGTATTGGAATTCTTAACGGTGAAATCAGCAGCTGACAGTGATAACGGAATTCGAGGCCATTGTCAAGCAGCCCTCAACTTCTTCTGCCACCGACACTAAAAGCCCTGGGGACGTCAGATCTATCTTAATTCTAAGAGATATATTTCATTTAAGGCTATGAAAAACCGCCCAACTTCTTTCTCCATCCTGCCACCTGAAAACAATCACGATTTGCTTATTAATCGCTCAATCTCCATCATTTTGGTGTTCAATGAAGGGAATATTAGACCTATGTTGATTTTTTCTTTTGGTAAGTGTTTTACGGCGTTGGCAACTGCATAAGATCACATGATCGCGCGAGACACATTAACCATTTTGTTGGTAGCAAATTTTGAATTTTCCCCTTGTGGCAGCCAAAGCCTACTCTTATCGACTTTAAACCACCAAGGGATATTTAACGTGCGCAACTTGCACTTGGGACCTCCGAGATTTTTCGCCCTTGTCCGAGAAGACAAGGTGTAGATCTTTCCAACTAGAAGATCAGGGGTGTGTCTGAAAGACAGCAGTAAGAAGGAGCAAAGGAGTAGCAGTAGAAAGGCTACAGAAAGAGTTAGGAGCCCAGAAGACAGGGCAAAGGAGAAGGTAAGGAGTGGGGGGAGAAAGTGGAGACGAAAGCAGACGACAGAATATTGCTAGAGAGCAGGAAAGCAGGTGAAAGGAGACAATTTTAGAGAAGAAAATTTTCGGTCGCTACCTGGATTCGAACCCGGGACCTTTGAATGAGAGGCGATCACCTTAACCTCTAGGCCGAGAGAGCCCCCACATATGTTGATGGTCTCGGGGAAAAAGTAAGAAGAGCTCATTTTTACATCATAGGCTGCAGTATCCATCACCCCCCCCCCTCTCCCACCACCCCCTCCCCCGACACACACACAAACTTACCTGCTTCATTTTGACCACCTTCTCCTTGTTGAGGATCTTGATGGCGTAACACTTCTGAGGGTTGTCGCCTCCATGCTGGGACAGCATCACACGGCCGAAGGAGCCCGAGCCCAGCGTTCTGATCAGCGTGTAGTTCCTGCAGATAGATAGTTTAGTCTAGCAGGTAGAAGAGAATCTTTGGTTTAGTTTTAGTAAATGTTTTGCGGCACCTACAACACAAAAAGGTCATATTAGTGCCGAAGATTAGATGTGTTACAAAAGAGTATCAAACGCAAAAAAGGAGGAGGAGAGAAAAGGGCAATAGATGTTTGATAGGAAAGAAGGAGCAAACCACACCAGAGAACCCGCCATCCACTCACGTTCCTGCAGATAAGGTGAGATCGACAACCCAAGATATAAGACTGGTTTTATTTTTAGCTTTGGAACGAGTTTTACTCCACTTGCAACACAAGTAGGTGTTACATGATGCGTAAGGGCCGACGTTTAGACGCATTTCTTAGGAGCAGCATGAAAAAGAACACGAACACGAACAAGAACAAAAAACAAAAACAAGAAGGAGAGATAAGAACGATATGTATAATATGTTTGATAGAAAGAAAGAGAAAACCACACTAGATCACTCGCCAACCAACCATTGCATGTACAAGCCGGTGAGATGGGACAAAACGAGCAGGGGTGAGAAATAGAACAGAGAATTTGAAATGAGATGAGATATTATGATAAAGTAGAAAGTTGTTTTTATAAAAAGGAATCCACCCCCCCCCCCTAATAAGAAAAGCCAGATGAAATGCAACTAAAATTAAAATAACCTGAAAAGACAAGCAAGTCAAGAAATAGATCTAAGTCAGTGACAGAAGATAAAAGGTGTCGAAGTTAGAAATCGATGAGACGAGATTAGAAGAGATCATGAGTAGAGACTCCTAAAAAACTATCACATAACTGGACTTATAATAATACATTTCTATAGCGCCCACTCCCGTGTAAACACAGCTTTAGGCGCTTTACATAATATAAATGCATCATGTACGAACAATATTCACGCAGGCACACACACACACACACACACACACACACACACAC